AATGACCAGTCAAGGTGTCTGTCCCTGGGGGCTGCTTAAGCAAAACATAGGTGGCAGGTTGCACGTGGCCAAGGCAATGTGTAGGTGGCTCTGATGTCTCGCAAGCCCTTGGTGTTTTTTTACCATCAGAGTGGCCAAGCCCTGACCCTCAGAGCCTGGTAAAGGATGTCCTTTCTCTCCTGTGTTGCTCAGGGCTCTACATAGGGTCAGTGTGAGTGTGTGTGTGGTTGTGAATTGGAGGTAGATTTTGTGGCTTTATACAGAAAGGTGTGATTTTCTGGGAGTTTGGTGATGTCTGTGAATTCCCCACAACCTGTCCAGCTTCTTTCATAGCTTTTCTAACAGTCCTCAATCACCTCCGATGAGTTCCAGATTTGCTTACATCCTAAGTTTGGAGCCATATCCCAGCATATTCACCTCCTGCTGCTGCCCTAAAATCAAAACTTGAGCTATTCCACTTGAGCGTGACTGCCCCTTGCTCTTTCAGCTTCTCTTCTGGCCTGTAACACACTCTCTGCTACGCACACCACGCTCTCTGCCTGCACTCCCACAGGTCTCACTGACCCTTCCCCACTCCAGCAGGTTCAGGCATTCTCCAGGGCCATGGATGTTTCCAGAATTGCAGGCAAGTGTGGGTAGTGAAGGAGAGGAAGACAGAAAGGTCAGCTCATGGGGCATGAGGAGCACTGTTCAGCCACCTCCAGCAGAGGACATTCTCCGTCTCCCAGGTTCAGGCATGCTCGCATGACGGAAACTTCCCATGTGTCCCCTGCTTTGTGCAGGGTCCTTCAGCCACACTCCCAGGGCACAGCTACTCCTCCCCCGCCTGCAGACATGAACTTCTTTCCATTTCTGGGCTCCGACATGATTGTAAGGATGTACTAAAGCCCTGAACCTTGCTTCTCGGTGATTTCCTTCCACCCTCTCTTGCATCCCTACACTTTGCCAGTCACTGCCTCATCACTCACTGAAAACAGAAAATGCTCTCAAGGCTTTCCATCTCATTCTCTGGCGATGACCCTGTTTCTCCATTCACCATTCATGGATAAAAAAACACCATTGGGGGAAGCACATCTTCTTGAGAAGGAGAAAACCTGCCTGAGGCACCTCTGTGCTCTTTGAGAAGAGAGTGCTTTTGCAAGATTCCAGGAAAAGGGATGTTTTTGCCCACATTTGTATTGCAGATGTTTGGTCTGCAATGGACAGGGAATGAGATGGAACTGCTACCAGGAATGTCGTGGGACTGGAGACTTGCTTTACAGCATATGACTGGAGTGGGGTTAATTTTCTTCATAGCAGCTGGTATGGTGCGATGTTTCGGATTTCTAACCAAACCAGTGCTGATAACACTTCCATAGTTTAGCTGTTGCTGAGCAGAGCTTGCACAGTGCCGAGGGTTTTGCTGTTCCTCACGCTTCCCTGCCAGCGAGTAGACTGGGGGCGGAAAAGAACTTAGGAGGGAACATCTGACCCCAATTGACCAACGGGATATTCCACACCATAGGGTGTCATGCTCAGCAATAAAAGCTGAAGGAAGAAGGAGGAAGGTGGGATGTTTGGAATGATGTCATTTCTCTTCCCAAGTAACCATTACTCGCGATGGAGCCCTGCTTTCCTGGAAAAGACAGAACCTCTGCCTGTCGATGGGAAGCAGTGACTGAATTCCTTCTTTTGCTTTGCTTGTGAGCACAACTTTTGATTTACCTGTTGGAGTCTTCCTTATTCTCACTTTGTGCTTCGAATTCTCTCCCCACCCCTCAGGAGAGGGGAGTGAGCAAGTGGTGGGTGGGGGCTTAGTGGCAGCATTACAGAGTTCTCTCTGTTCTCAGTAAAACCATTAGCAGTACAATGCTCTAAAATTTCTTCTCCTTCTTGATTATGATAAACTTAATTTCTTTAAATTTATTCTTGCAATTCATTCTTACTTGGCAAGACAGCTATAACTTTACAGTCTTTATCCTCTGGCATGAAGTTTCTAGAACAGTGCTTTTCCTTCCATTGCTAACTCTTTGTTATCATGTCACGGTAACACCTCTCAGACAAGATTACAATAATTCTTTTCTGCTCTCTATTTTTCGTCCTTGTTACAGTGTGTGTCTGTGTGAGCAGGTTATTTTTTTACAATTAAAATGTCATAGAACAGATCCCTAAGTGGTCAAAGCACAAAGCAGGCCAAAGTATTGTGTGACAGACACTGATACAACACTATAATCTTCATTTTGGATCTCTGAACACCTAACCCTTCAGCAGAATGCCTGGACACTCTGAAGTCCCTCCATCTGCCCTGTATTTCAGCAGTGAAGGTGAAATTACTCCAATCAATCAGAGGTGGTGTTCTGATTCTCTTCACACCCTAAAACACCACACTTGTCAGGAGATACTCCAGGACACCTCAAAGGGCATCATCCTCTTCTGGACTAACAAATGGAATCTCAGGTGTCACGGCATAGCAATACTTGTGTTCAGGGATCTCTCCAAATCACCTATCCCCATTTCTGTAATGGTGCCTGAGTTTGCTCAAGTAACCCTTGAGGTCATCCCCAACACAACTGGTTGTCCTCCTCCAGGGGAGGAGAGCACAGGGGCCATCCCCCATGCTCATCCTCCCTACCTGTCTCCCCAGAAGAGTCTGTGTTCCTCCATTGCAGAGCCCCATTAAAGCAAGCTAACCCACCATGTCCTGCCAGTCTCCCCAGCAGAGCCTGTGTTCCTCCATTGCAGAGCCTCATGAGAGCAAACTAACCCACCACATCTCGCTCAATCCAACACCATCACATCTTTGTGACAAGCGATGGGGCTCCAGCTCCTCCTGGCTGTGATCCACCTCCTCCTTGCTGTGCCCATTTTGGCTGCAGCAGCTCAGCTGTGGCACCAGGGTTGAAAGCAGACTTCTCTCTGGGAAATCTAAATCCTGATCCTCACCAGAGGACCAGTGGACATCGAGCCTTGCTACACTGTGCTTCCAACATGGCCTTCACACCTCTGCTGTGCTGCACAGATCCCTTGGCTGCAGAACAACCTCAGCAGCTCATTGTCACAGTGCAGGCTGCCAGCAGCTTCCACTCTGTACTGGACATCACACCTTCTGCATGGCCTTGCCTGTATCGAACAGTGCAGCAAGAAGGTCTCATGAGAACTTTGCTTCTCTTTGACTGTGGAAAGGATGGAGTCGTTTCCTTGTAAGAAAATCCTGTAGCAACTTGAATGACCAAAACAGAGGACTCTCTTCTATGGGTAAGGTCTCTATGGTGTACTGTGTGGGGATCAGAAGCCTGTTCAATGGTATTGCACTTGGGGTTCCCACCATCTAAATGGACCTAAGATTATCTGCATGATTCTCTCCTTATAGTGTCAGTACTAATGAACAGCATTTTAAAAGGTACCTGGCAGAGTTCAAGTGCCTTTCTCACTGGAAATAGAGTGAACCAGTGTCTCTTGGTGAAAAACATGCTCTCCTCACTCTTGAAGCAGCCCCTCCAGCCCCATGACTGGTAAGAGAGCAGTTTGCTCAAGCAAACCCTGGCTGGATTCCCACCCACCGCTGGTTGTTCCCCTCCAGAGTCCTGCCTCAAAGCACAAAGGCCTGGCAGACCTTGTTGGTGGTAACTGAGGCTGAGAGAACATGAAGTGTCTCAGATATGTATCCACCTACTCTTCATAAATTTAGCTGTGGTCCCACGATATCTCTGCTTCTTCTTTAGCTGCTGCTGAAAGATAATCTTGGTGCCCTTGAATTCCCTTCTGAGATTGGTTTGAGTTTTAGTATGAACCATTGCTGTGCTTGGATTATGGTGTCCTTGAACACAAGAAGTATCCAGGGACATTGCTAAAATGGTTGGTTTGTTCTCTGATGGTATCATCAAGGCAGTGAGTAAAGATCCTTGTATGATGTGCTTTGTGTTCGTGCAATGCCTGCAACTACTGGGTACAGATGGAATAGACCTTGCTTCTCTAATGAGGTCTGATGATTCCTGCTTCTGACTGGTACCATCAGTCCGTGGCATGCAGGCATCAAATCCCACTCTCTGTGATGCTTTCGGGGTGTCTCTCATGCACCCAGCCTCAGTGGGAATTTCTTTCCTGCAGGTCCTGTTCTGTCCCTGCAAGCCTTGACATCTCAGGTCATTCAGTGGGCATGGATTTGAAAACGAAATGAGAAGAGACCCTGAACTCTGTAAGGCAATGTCAGAATGAACATGAAAGAGCTGCTGCTGTTGCCATTGGAGACCTCGTACACACCGCTGGTGGAGGAGAGAAAGGGAAAGCCTGAGTTCTCCCTATGGCACATGACTGCAGTTGTTCAGAGGAATAACTCTATGGGCTGCCCTGGACATAATGAGTGGGGACAGGTTCAGTTCATTGAATTTGGGCATCCGCTGTCATTTCAGTTGGCCAAATGAAATACCCAGCAGTCTCCAGGAGGATGCCCCAAGATTCATCTGAGGGAGCTGAGTCCATTTCCATTCCCAGGACCAAAAATCTACAAATGAGATGCCTCGATTGACTCAGCTGCACCGCTGCCCTCAGCAGGGGTAAAGGAGATCCCTCCCTGACACAGTCTGGTTTTCCTTTTTACTGATGGGACACGGCAAGGTGAGAATTAGGCATAAAGCTGTCATTTGTAGGAGAAATGTCAGTTCTGAAAAGCAGTGTCTCTCCCCTGCAGAGGGAGGGAACATCAGTTATTCCTTCAGCCTGTTTCACAGCAGGTTCTTTTGGAGCCACAGGGACATCTCAAGGGAGTCCAAAGGGAGCAGAAGAAAGATGTCTTGGGCTGGTTCTCTGCTGCTGAGCTGGGCTGGTCTCCTGGGATGGAGGGAGATCACGGCAAGTGGGCAGTGCTGCAGAGAGACAGCTCTGCCCAGGAGCAGCTCCCCTGCATAGCCCAGCAGGGCTGAGGGCACTGCCTGCAGGCACCGAGGGGAGAGGAGAAAGAGATTCAAGGCAGTCAGTTGTTGGAGGATGAAGAGAGCTCATTCAATGAGGAAACATCACATGGACTAGTGCAAGTGTTCATCCTGAGATCTGTCCTGGTTAACATCTTTACCAATGACACAGAGGAACTGATGGAGTGCACTCTTGTCAAGTTTGCAGATGCCATCCAACTGTGAAAGAGCCAGTCAATAAGCCGGAGGGCAGAGCTGCCATCCAGGGAGATCTCGAGAGGCTGGACTGTAATGGGTAAATCACAGTAGGCAGCTCATCCCCACACAGCCACTTGCTCACTCCTCCCCAGCAGAATGAGAAAGAGAATCAGAAGGGAAGAAGTGAGAAAACTCATGGACTGAGATAAAGACATTTTAATAGGAAAAGCTGTGCGCAAGTGCCAAGGAAAATAAGCCAGTGCATTCACTACTTTCCACCAGCAGGCTGATGTTCAGCCATCTCCAGGAAAGCAGGGCTCCATCACGCGTAACTGTCACTTGGGAAGACATACCCCACAACTCTGAATGCCCCCTCTTTCTCTTTCATCCCTGCAGTTTTTATTGCCGAGCACAACGTCATATGGCATGGAATATCCCTTGGGATCCTCTGTCCTTGTTGTGTCCCATCCAACAGAATGTCCACTGAGTTCATTCAGCCCATGATCTGGGTTCTATCTGTTGTGGTGCTGACTGGGGACAGTGTTGGTGTGCCTGCTAACCCTGACCCTTGTGCTTGCAGAGAGCCCATGCCCTGTCCCAAGGCCGAGATCTATATATTCCCACCGCTCTCCATCGTAAAAGATGACTCCCTCTCCCAGGCCAGTCCACCCCTGGCCGCACTCCTGCTGTGTGCTATCTCACACCATCTCTGATATCCACATGACTCTGAAGCTCACTGTAACCACACACAGACTTCTAATTCCCCCTTTTTCTTCATTACTCTGTGCGCATCCGTGCACTGCACAATTCAGAGAGGGGCCTGGCAGCACTGATTTCCCAGAAAGCATATCGCAGGATCACAAAATTACAAAAGAACAGCTGAGATTCGAAGGGACAGGATTGCAGCCAGTATTGGTCATGCAGTGCACCACTGATGACTGGCCTCCAACAAGACCATCTGCTTCTGATCATCATTCTCTGGTCCCCACCATTCAGCCAGTTTTCAAACCATCTCACTGTCTGCTTGTCCAGTCCATGTTTACCAGCTTCTCCATGAGGATTTTACGGGAGACAGTGCTGAAAACCTTACTGAAGCCGAGGCAGATAATCTCTACTCATCTACCCAGCCACTCACTGCACTGGAGAAGATTATCAGACTATCAGATAGGAAGGACATTTCCTTTCACTCTCTGTGCTCTGGGCCTCTGTGTATGGGTTGGGGTCTGGCACTCAGAGGGCTGTGATCTCCTGCCATTGTATAAATGCTTCCAAAAAGATTTGACCAGCTCAAACCCAGGGATGATATGAGGGAAGCAGTACCAGCTGTGGTCATTGCTTGAGAGCAAAGAAATAATAGACAGTGCTGTTCAACCTCTCCAATCTTCGTGCTCTTAGCTCGGATTAGATGACATGTAGATATCAGAAGTATTAACATAGACCTTTCCTGGAAAAAATTTCTTCATTCAAAATGTTCACAGGAAATGTATTTTAGAAACGGCTGTATAAATCTGGATTTATAAAGAGGGAGAAAAAGTGTCATCAGCTTGCTGGTGCCTTCGGGGGTTGGCAAAGTTCCCGCCACTATGATCCCAGTGAAAGCCCTCAGTTGAGTGTCCCCCTATAACCACAACAAGACACAGCCCCATAACGTAACTTCTGCAGCCTCCTCCTTGTACCAGACCCTTTCCCAGCCCCTGTGATGTCCCATGTGGAGCTTCACAGACAGCCCTTCTCTTGGGTGTGCTGAGGCATGGCCCAGGAGAGAGGCTGGGCAGGGCTGGCTCTTCCCCCCGAGCCCACCAGGAGGATGGAGGTGGCTTTGCAGCAAGACTCATCCATAAACCTGAGGTGAGAAGCCAGTGCTGGAAATAGCTGCTGAGAAAGGCTGGGGGCTGACAAAGGCCACCTTCCCTTTGTTTATGACATGGCGAGCACAGATTGGCATCCTCTCTGCTGTGCCTGCATGTCTTTGACCCCTTTCACGTGCCCTGGTTCTGCAACACAAAGCCCCCGGTGTGAATGCTCCCCCTGCACGCACCACAAAACACTGGTGTGAGTGCTCATCCTGCATGTTCAAGCAGTACAAGTTCTACACTGGTGTTTACCAGACACTTTCCAGCCCAGCCGTGCTCCTCCCCAGCTCTCCCCATCTCCACTGACCCATCCCCAGCAGAGCAACACAGTCACACTGGTCCCACAGAAGTGCACAGCACAGGGTGCTGCAGAGCTCTGGCCACTCACCCCACAGCCACAGCCCCTCGGATGAGCACAGCAGGTTCTGAGGGACAGAAAAGAGTCTCAGGCTCCCCACCAGTCCCAGGTCTGGGACCAGCCATGGCATGAGGAGACAGAGGCCAGTGTCTCCCCGTGTCTGCTG